CGAACACATCGACATTAACAACAGCAACATCATCAAAAACAACAAAAACAACAATAGCAACAACAACAACATCAACAACAGCACATCATAAAACATCTTGATGGGTCCGTACTGCCTCCTAAATACTGAACAAGAGCGATAAAGTATTTTTTAAAGATGTTGATTGATATGGATCGATTGCGATAAAAAATGTAAGAAGACAAATACTGAGACCGGCCATTGAAATACCATTCGTCTGGTAGACTTTTCTATTGATGTCTAGCCAGGAATGACCTTAAAATGTTATGGGGACTATTCCTTCTATTACCTTACCTAAGTCTGAATCTTTTAATTAATTTTTTAGTCCAAGTTTTATTTTAGATTTTAGCTTGTCTCTTTCTTTTCAGTTTTGCAGTGTTGCTGAAGGTCATTACTTTCATCTACGTAAAACAAAAAACCCTTGCTTGCCCTTCTTTAGTGATCCTACTCTTTTCCTTTTTGTTACCTTTTTAGTTTTATTAAGGATTGATTACTGTAACTCGCTCTACTATGACCTTCCTGATTCTACACTCTATGTTTTAAGTGAAGCTGTTAACTCTGATGCTCATCTAGTAATTCGTGCCTCTTTCTTTTTTTATATATCTCCCTCCATATCTTGTTCTCTTGCCCTAGCTACCTATAAAAAATAGAATAATTTTTATAATTTGCACATTAATGTATAAGTTTCAATTTAAATTATCTCCTAAGTACTTATCAGATATATTAATTGAACCTAAACGTGCCGGTTTACGATGTTTTTCTTGCTCCCACTTCTTTTTAAATCCTGTTAAATACTTTTATGTCAAATCTGCGTTTGCTTGTTTTGACCCTTTTCTCTGAAACTTTTTATCTCAATCTCTAATTACTTCTCTATCATTTATGATTTATGACATTTACAGCGGATCTCAAGACCCATCTGTTTGTTAAATTTATTGAGGGCACTGTTGTCGCGGGAACGACGCTTCAAAATCTTATTGACTGATGGGAATGGTTATTGTAACTTGCTCTACTATGGTTTTCCTGACTCTAAACTCTATCCTTTAATGGATACTTAGTGAAACAACAACAACAACATCCACAGCAACAGCATCAACGACTGCCCGACTTCAGATCGGTCCGTGAAAAAGAGCTGTTTATTCAAAATTCAACTTTTTAACGCCCTGAGCTAGAACCACTTAAATAGATAATTAATTAGAATAGTAAGAATTTGACATTTCTATAGATGGATAGATGTGTTAAATTTTACATTTTCTATATTTTCGAAATTTTCTTGCACTTGCCTTATACGCATCCGATAAATTATGTCAAGAGGGAATATTTCTTGAGACAAAAGATTTGAATTATTTTATATTAAACTTTAAATTGATAAAATTTTTTAATGCGTTTTCTTTAACAAATCGAAAAGATTTAAGCTAAAAGTTCATTTTCGATCAATTAAAATTTAATTTTAAATTTCCTCTGCTTGGCAAAGAGCGCAAACTTTGTTGCTGCACGGAAAATCGTTAGCAATCAATTTGCCATCCACTGAGTACATATGCACGCAGTCTTCATTGCTCATGTAATCATCCGGTTGGCCGGAAGCCCAGTTCAGTATGTTAGCTACCTTTCCGCAGTCGCAGGTGTTAAAAGCATATATCGAAGGTTTGGCCGTGTTCCAGTAGAAGGTTTTAGTTTTGTCTTTTCTGCGACCAGCTGTCCAAAAGCCATACACACTACCTGTACATTTTCCTGTCAAATTAATTTAAACAAAAATTTAAATGAAAAAGTGTAATAGAGTAAAAACTAACCGGTGAAGTTTTTGTTCAAGTAATTGTTTAGACTATTCACGAACGGCATCGTATTGACGATTGCCAGGTTAGCGTTCAGATTTGAACATGCTGTGTATGCTTCCTCAGCCGTCTGCGGATTCGTCAGCATCTTCATACATCTTCCTTCCACACCCTCAAAACCCTTTGGACAACCTCCTGTGTTGGGACAAATTTGTTTTGCATATTTTTTATGAAAAATTAAACTTCAACTTTAATAAAAAATGATGGAATGGCTAAAATAATCTACAATAAAATTGGTATAAAATTGAATGTTTTTTAATAGTAATTTATTTAAAAGTTTTAAATAGTAATTTATCTAATTTATCACCAACAAATTAACATCAACTAATTAACATCACCAACATACCTTCAATGAGTTCTGCAAACAAACCAAAAACCGCCAACAAAGCTAAGAATTTTCTTGAACAAGACATCGTATTTGAGTTTTCAAGGAATGATAAAACAACTTGAAGATGATGCATCCTAATATAGTGTTTTAAATGATAAATAATCAATAAGTTTTTTCTCTTTTTGAAATGTAAAAATGACTCTTCTGAAGTTTTTCTCGTCTCGACGTTAGGAGATGGCGTGTAAGATGATTGATGTAATTTCTCGCTTGAAAGGAGTCAAGACGACAAAATGAACGAACATCACATTTTCGATCGATAAGTGATATTAGAAGAAAATAATATTTATATGTTTAGTTTTTTATTTTTACAACATTTTTATTCTTCTTTTCCGAGGTTTTTTTTAAATAATATCTGCTAAATACTTATGAGTAATAACTACGATGTGAAATACAATCATTAACGTGGTACTGGGTATAGTGTTACTACTGTTTAAAAAATCTCCCAGTTACCATGCGTGTTACACTTCCAAAGCATATGATCAGTTATTTTGCTGTAAATTTACAGA